TGGCCTAAGAAAGTAGCATGACTTACTTTTATGTTGTGCTTTCCTCACAACAGCCCTATGAAGTAGGTAGGGCAATTAGTGTTGTCTCCATTTTTCATCTGGAAAAACTGAAGATTAGGGAGGTAAAGAGACTTCTTGTCTGCAGTCATGTAACTAGCAAATATTGTAGCCTGAATTTGATCCCAGGTTTTCTGACTCCAAGTCCAAGTTTTGTTTGTTATATTTTCCCCACTACTTCACCATAAGTACTATTTTCCCTTGTCAGAAAGATGATAGCAAAATTCCAACTATCTGGGTCAGTAATTCATAAATGATAATTCTCATTCAAACCATGGGTTGGTCTCCTTGCAGATAGAAAAGGAATACACTTTTTTTCTTAAAATTCCTATTTTGAGAAATAGAAAAAATGATAAAAGACAATGTAACTATTGATATTTAAATTCCATGCAACATATTTTTGCACAATTAAGTTTTTGAGAAAAAAAGATGATAGCTTTTTAAAAAAAGAAATAAAATAAATATATTACATTGAAAACTTGGTAAAAACAGTTTTCATATCAAATGGTTCTATTTTTATTCGTTGTTATGTTAGGTAAATATATATATATCCCCCAGAAGGAAGTAATAATTAGCTCATTTTCAATATTTTCTCAACAATATCAACAAATAGAGCAGTCATAAGCAAATACTCCTTGCAATTTAAATGTTTTCTTATAATGTTAGAGGAACACAGAATTTTTAAAATAATTTATAATTTATTTAATGTTATTTGACCAAAAATAGCCAGATCCAAAACCCAGGTTGTCTGACTACCAGACTGGTACTCTTTCCACTTACTGCAATACAGAAATGAGGGACATTTCCCTTTGAGTTTAGCCATAATAATTCTATAGGTAGAAAAAAAGGGGATGGAAATGAATGTCATAGGGGTACTGAGTTGTGCTAGATGCAGATCTAAAATGGTAGAACAATAACGACCCTCCATATTCTGTTTTGTTCATATTGCCTGTTGATGGATTTACACTACTGTTCTTGACCTGAATCCAAGTTACTCATCCAAGGGCTTTTTCTTAGAAATAAAATGTGATTAATAGGTAACATTTATATAATGCTTATTATATGTCAGGAACTATGCTAATTTCATAGGTATTATCTCATGTGACCTTCACAACAACCCTGGGAGGTAGGTGCTGTTATTATCCCCATTTTACAGATCAGGAAACTGAGGCAAATGGAGGCTTAAATAACTTGCCCAGGATCATGCAGCTAATTAGTGTCTTAGGCTGTATTTGAACTCAGATTTTCATAACTCCAGGCCCAGCACTCTATCCACTGTGCCACTTAGCTACCCTAATTATTTATGTAACATTATTATAACCCCCCCCCACCAAACTTTAAGTATCACCAGTCACCTGCTTTATAATTTCTTGCTTTTTGTTTTAAAAAGACCTTAACCTTTGCTTGAAAGTAATCCAGGGTACCCCCAAAATAATACAATACATTATATATTTTCCTAAACTTAATCACTTAATATCTTACTTCCTCTCCTGCAGGCTTATATTATATTTTGCACATGGCTCCCAGCTGGTTTTCATTGTGGCCTTGAAAACATATTTGAGCACTGAGGGCTTTAGGAAGAGTTGCTTTATCTTTTTTGTCAACTTTGGTTATATTAACATTTTTGTCCATTTTGTTTTTAAAATCACTTGGTACCAAAGGCAAACAGTGTGTATCTGCACATAAGGGGGGTGTTTTGGTGCAAGCAGGTTACAAGTTATGTTTTGAATATATTTGTAGCTTTTTTTTAACCTCATATTCCTACCATAGAAAACTTACTAGGAAACAGTAATTAATATGTCATATGGAAGAAGGATTAGACTTTTCCAGCTTAACCCAAGAGGAAAGATACTAGAACTAATAGTTGGAAGTTTCAGAGTAGCAGATTTTAGCTCACTGAAAGAAAACACTTGGTAAGAATTACAGATATCCAATTAAAACATTAATTTCAACAAGCATTTATTAAGCACCTATAATGTGCACGCATTATGTTAGCAGAAGGAGAAGCAGGCAGGCCAATCCCTGGGATGTGTAGAAGAAAAAAGTGATGTATTGTGGAGTAGTGGTAACCAGCTCACTCATGCTAGGTGAGATGTTCATTCATTTAGATGTGTCCAACTCTGTGTAACCCAATGGACTTTGACTCTGAGGTTTTGTTGGCAAAGATGCTGGAGTGGTTTTCCATTTCCTTCTCCAGCATGTCCTCATTTTACCAATGAGGAACTGAGGCACATAGGAGTTAAGTAACTTGCCCAGGGTCACTCAGTTATTAAGTGTCTGAGGCCTGATTAACTCAGCTCTCCCTGACTCTAGGCCCAGTACTCTATCCACTGTACTACCCAACTGTCCCAAGATGACATAGTTTCCCATAACTTTTTATCCCCAAGTTTCTAGATACTTTATTTCTGCTTCGTCTTTGCTCTTCAGCCCCTTTCTTTGCCACAACACTTGTCCCAAACCCTGGGAGCTTTTATAATGGTAATTATAATATGCCCTATTATTAAATGTTATAATTCAAGATTTAATGGGCAATTGTGGGCATGCCTGAAAACATATATACTATATCTCATAATGTTGCTATGGGAAAATACATTCTGAATACTAAGTAATAAATTTACAAATGTGCTTTGGGAACATATCTCATTTTGTAAGTTGAAATGGCTTGTTCTGTTTTTATGATGTTTCAAAAGATTTCGGACTATTGAAAGATAGCTAAATACTCAAAAAAAAAAAAACCCACAAAAAACGTTTTTCATTTCTTTGTGAATCATTGATTTCCCTTTTAATCAGAATAAGAAAGATCATTTCTATGTTAATGTCATTCCATATTTTTGGCATTTTGAATTCTCAAAGATGGTAGATTTATCACGTTGTCATCCTTGGGCAAAATGTCTTAAAATGCTGTCTAATCCTGGTTTAAAGAATTGCCAACTGACCAAATAAATGTCTAATATGTTTCTATGTAGTTAATTTCTGTTATGAAGATTCTGTTTTCAAAAAACAAATGATAGGTATAGCACCCCTATTTTGTAATACCTGCTTTGACCATAGCAGGCTGTGTAGGCTAGACTCAGTTCAGAAGTGTTTCATGAGCTATTGACATATATCCTGTCATTTGTTCATGGTTTTTGTCAAAAAAGACTCCTTCAAATATTTTAATTTTTTTTAATTTATTTTATTTTTATTTTATTTTACTAATTTCAGGTCAAAAGGGAGAAAAAGATAGAATACATACATCTATCATCTAGTCTTATGATGAATAAACCCTATTGTACAAATATTAGATTAATTTCAAAGTTTAGTTTTATAAAATCTCTTTAAATCTAACCTGTGGAAAATGGGGGGGGGGACAAAAAACAATCTACTTATTCATTTAAGTGGAACATTTATTCTGATTCCTCACTAGGAAGAGAGGCATAATTTAGAAAATGGAGGTTTTTAATTCTCTTTTGTTTTCTAATTAGTGCAATTTTCTAATCACATGCTTAATATTTGTTTCTGGAGCATATATTTTACACAGTGTGCATGTTTAAAAGTAAATGTTAAAATTACTATCACAAAATAAAATTCTCACTGGTTGATATGGTGCTTCAGTTATTAGAATGTTCACTTGAGTCTGTGGATTAGATCAGAAGTATGAATATATGCATATCACCAAGACTCTCATCTGAGTAGTGCAGCCCTTACATGGAACTGGAGTTTTTTCTGTTGAGTATAATTAGAATGCTGAAGTACCCTAGCTTTCACTTTTTTGCTGATGTTAGCTTGCCAGAGTGGACCACATAAGTTTACTCTTAGTTGAAAGTGGTATAGAGAGAGTGCCAGAACATTCATTTCAATTGGTCAACCTCATGTGGGTTTTTAGCACTAGTGTTTTATCACCCAATGTTTTAGAATTCTCTCTTCTACCAGCAGTTAGCATATTATTAAAAATATGCTTTTGACATCTTTCAGGCTGATTTTGTTTTTATACGGAGTTTCAATCTCTTGCATTTATTGTGTTGTTTTTAGGGAATAAGATTTGCTGAATTTGCACTAAATATTTTGTTTAATTCTGAACAAAAGACTGCTATTTTAATTCTAGTGGAAACCCATTTTATTATCTTGTGGCCTTGGGACTGGGGTAGATGAATAAGCTTTATTTTATTTATTTACTTTTTTAAATTTTTTGTTCTTTAATTGAAGCACCAGCTTTGGAGGCTGAAATATTTTAGCTAGGAAGATGGTGGTATGTAGTGGTGGGGAAAGTGAAGACAGAATCTATATATTTGTTTTTAATAGAAGTTAGATTTTTTCCCCCTTTGCTTACTACTTAGGCAAATTGGATTTTCCCCTCTTTTCTAGAAAGTGCTAAGTTAAATACTCAGACTTTAAAAGTTCACATAAAACATAGCTAGGGTTATTGTTGGGAGAGTGCTTTCTACACTGTAAAATGCTACAGAAATGTATGCTATTGTTAAGTATTTATAATAACAAAAGATGACCATATTCAAATGATCAAAAATACTTGTATAATAAGAGTTAACACTTACTTAACCAAACTATTTGGTGCCTTCTAAATGTTAGGATCATAATCTGTCCACAGAATTTACATGCTAACAAAAAAATTAAGCCCATCTTATTATAGAATGATATTATTAATGCTATTATAACTAACAAATAAAAATAGAATAATATGCTTTTTCTTCTGCTTCATTACCAGTGTTGCTTCAAGAAGTTCCAGTGATTTGGCATTCTCTCAGAGTCTTCTTTGCATAAATTGTCATTTGCACGATGGAATTTTAAGTTCAGCAGAAGCTAGATTCCTAAAAACACAAATTTCAGTATTCATTATCTCCACTTTTTAGGAGGTCATTGTCCAAGAGTTTTAAAGTCTTTCTTTTTTTTTAAGAAATAAGCTTGTGGATGTAAACTAAATGTAAATATCTATTTTTAATTATTAGGTTCTTCATAGACAGCAGTCTCAGCCAGCTAAGGAAAGTTCCCCTCCTAGAGAAGAAGCCCCACCTCCACCTCCTCCTGCTGAGGACAGTTGTGCCAAAAAGCCCAGGTCTCGCACCAAGATCTCCTTAGAGGCCCTGGGAATCCTGCAAAGCTTTATTCATGATGTGGGTCTCTACCCTGACCAGGAGGCTATCCATACCCTTTCTGCTCAGCTGGATCTCCCCAAACACACCATCATCAAATTCTTCCAGAACCAGCGGTACCATGTGAAGCACCATGGGAAATTAAAAGAGCATTTGGGCACTGGGGTTGACGTTGCTGAGTACAAGGATGAAGAGCTGCTGACTGAATCAGAGGAAAATGAGAGTGAAGAAGGCTCGGAGGAAATGTACAAAGTGGAAGCTGAGGAGGAAAATGCTGACCAAAGCAAGCCAGCTCCCCCAGAAATCGAACAGAGATAATGTGAAATCACAACCTGGAAAGCAAGACATTGGTCCAAGGATTTTCTGTTTCTATTTTCTTTCTTATTTTATTTTGGTTTTTAGATTTGTTTTTTTCATATTTTTAAAAAAAATATTTTTTTTTCTTCCCCTTTTTGACATTTCTTTGTTGCACGGCATACACGTGCAGACTGAAGGAGTTCAGTATTGCCGAATTAGTCATCATCTTGACACAGACACTTGAGTGTTACATTTTTACATTTGACTGGAATAATAATTGTAATCACATAAAACTATGCCTTCATTAACCTTGCACTTATGGAAGAAATGCAAAGCAAGTTCTCAGAAGAAAAGATCTATAAAATAAATGAAGGAAACTACAAGTGTGTGTGTATATGTATATGTACATATATATATATTTACATATATATATTAAAATTGCATGGGACAGAGAACTTTACAATCTGAAAGAATAGACTGTGAAATGGGTTCTCAAAGACAAGACTTGTTTATGTATTAAAACCACTTCACAATGAGTTGCTTTGGCTTTTTGATAAACTGCCGCCTGCTCTCAGGGTGTGGTGACTATTTTTTTTTTGAATTCCTATTTATTTTCTATGTTTGTCCCTGATTTTTTTTTATTATTCTCTACCTTCCTAGCTGGCAGCTTGATGGTTAATTATTGAGGTATCTATTTAACAAAATAAATCAACACTGCCAAAAATGAGAGAGAAAAGAAAATGAAGCGGAAAAGAAAAATCAGGGCACCTTAAGAAGACAAAGTCCAATTACTTTTAAGACACAATGCACACTTAAAATGATTCAACATGTTCCGTTACTCAACTGGTCCTTCCTGTAGTGAACAGATGAACTTTAGTGGAAGTCAGAACAAGCGAAACTGAACTTCAGTATGGAAAAGCTTGTCTACTAGTGAGGTCTTGATAAAATAACATTTTGAGATTGGCTGCATGGAATTCATATTATAAAACCAAGTTTTATCGTGGTATTTATTTACCTGTTCTCAACTTCAGAGCTTAAAATGAGTAAGTCTAATCATTTAAAAATGCTTTATTTTCTCTTTTTTTTAATAAAAAAAATCCATTTTCTCCCTGTAGAATGGGAAGTGCAAAAACTAAAGCCTGAGAAATACATTTGGTTAATAAAAATGTGCAGTTGGAGGGCTTCCTCGCTCAGAGACCTGGTCTCTCTCTCCTACAGAGTTATCCCTGGGTAACTGTTGGCTCCCTTTGCTTCATGCCCTTCTGTAAGTGGAACTAAACGTTTCCAGTCGCTGTGTCACACACAGCAGCCCATTTCCAGCATTGGCTGGCCCTCTTGAGAGAAACCTTTTGCTAAGCAATTGTGCAGCTCTGGGTGAAGAAAAACAAAGTAAGGCGTTTCAGTACAGTGATCTACTAGTCACCAGTGAATGCTTCCCCCCATCCCCCACCCCCCAGTGACCTAGCTAGCTAGCACAGAGATTCTATCCGGCCAACAGGAGGTCAGCAGGTTGACTGACTTCCGTGGAATGAGCAGGCAAGCTCCATTCTCCTAGTATTTCTGGTCTCTTCGTCTCTCCCCACCCCAAACCTCAGTAACATTATTCCTGCTTCCATTGATAACAATTCCAAGAGGAGACTTCACTTTCAATCCTAGTCTACATGAATGGAATCCCTGCTTTCAAGTGGCGGGCAGACAGTCATCCCTTGTGCTTTGATCTTTTAAGTTGTGTTCTCATGCAACCTTGTCAAAGACCTCATGCAATATCACTTTGAAAGTTATTTTCTGTTTACTACACAAGCATTGTAATATAACTGTTAATACTATTTATATATTTGAAAGGTATAAAAGGTAGGATTAAAAAAAAACCTCTATGTGTAGATATTTACTCAGAACTTACAATATACAGGGAGAAGACATGTTGCAATACAAGCTAATTCTAGCTGCTCAGTAACCTCTGGAGTTTTTAAAGGGACATTTTCCTGTACTTTTTCAAATAAAAATGTTTAGAACTTATCTTGACATGAGCGTCACATACCTTTGCAAAAGGATGGTTACTAAGCCCTAGTGCTCATCCTTTCTTTTTCTGTAGTATGCTGCAGCTTTGATCTGAAGTTCCAATGGTTGCTGCTTTACGTTCTCCTCAGAGTTACTCCTTCAAAATTGTCTTCTTACACTGTTGCTGAAATCACTATGTACATGTAATGGAAACTGATTTTTGCCAAGCTCTTGCAAGGTGGTTCATCTATTGATGGCATCAGCATTTGGTATCTTTTACACTTCAACCAAAAATTTATTAGGTATTTTTCAATGCTAAGTCTTGCCTTTTATTTTTAATTTCACTGCCAAGTCTGCAGTGGTTCAAAGTGAATCTGTGGGCATTTTAGCCTGTGGTCTTGCCAGAACTTTGCGAATTACAATGCATATATGTCTATTTATTCAATATCTGTCATATAATATCTATTTGGAAAAAGAAACTTTCTCTTGTAGTGCCTCTTGACAAAGCACAATTTTCCGCCTTTTTTTGTGAAATAAAAAAAAAACAAATTGTGTTTTATTGCAGTATCAACAATGTGAATAAGGATTAACATATTGTAAATGTTCTTTTTTTCCATGTAAATCAACTTTATCTTTGTTATCACTAAGTGATAATTAATTTTTAACTTATGTGCATTGTTAGGCTGTTAGAATTTTTTGGTTGTTGAAATAAAACGCATTCAATAAATATGACTTAATTTGTCAAGTAATTTACTGGCCTTACTTTCATTCCCATTGAATTTTTCAAGTGAGAAGACCTGGGGGGAGTGTGGGAGTTCTCCCACTTAAGAAACAAAATATGATCGGGACAACCATATTAGCATTTACAGATGTTTAAGTTCTATGGGATGCATGGATTTAATTGCATGTGTGTCCGTGTATGTGTCTCTGTGTATATAAACACATGCATGCACACTTCCTGTGGCTCAGGGCTCAGAGGACCATTTAGCCAATCATTCCTAAACTCAAATGTATAAAGATATATTTATGAGCTTTCTCCTTTATTTTTCTAGGGAATATTTTCTGTTTATAATTAAAAACCACAAATGACTGCGTGTCAGGAAACTTTTGGAACACATATGTACATGGTTAATAGACATGATAAAAGTCTTTTATATTTATAGACAGGGCATCATAATGTGTGCATGGAGGAATGCCGGAAGGATTGATGTATCTCAAGAAATGTGTGAAAATGATTTTTTAGAAAGTGCTTACAATGGAAAAAACTGCTCAGAAGACTAAAGCTAATATAGTAGGAACAAGTGCCGGATTCAGAATGGGCAGAGAGTCAGTGGATTAAAACTTTATTTTGTTTTTCTTCTGATAGTGTAAATTCTCTCTCCCTCTGCCCCATTTTGCTACGTTGGGTGGCTCTTACTACCTCAGCCACCTTTCATACGAACCATCTGCTATATTCTCTAGTTCCCTGTCATCCTGCTGCCACCAAAAAAAGAAAAGAAAAGAAAAGAAAAGAAGATAACCTTTGTTTTATGACAAGCCCATGGATATAAAAACATGGGTTAAGGCCCATCTGTTAATGGGCCTTAATAACCCTAAGAATATTAAAAGTCATTCAACACTGGTGAAAATGTCAACAAACTTTGACACTGATTGGAAAGTTAAGCAAAATATAGCTGTGAGAAATTACCTCTCACATAATAATCAGGTTTAGAAAACTTGGCTTGAATGATTCAGACAAAGCAGAGCAAGAAAGCAAAATTAATTCCCACTTGGGTGTATTTACTGGTTAAGAATTAGACTAATCCAAAGTCAGGCCTTCCTCTCCCTAAGATTGTCTATTCAATTTACAAACAATTCAGCTTCTGCAATGTCGTTGCTTGTCTTGCATTTTCTTTTTTTTTGTTTGTTTGTTTTTTGGGCAATTAGGGTTAAGGGACTTGCCCAGGGTCACACAGCTAGTAAATGTCAAGTGTTTGGTCTAAGGCCAGATTTGAACTCAAGTCCTCCTGACTTCAGGGTCGGTGCTCTATCCGCTGCACCACTTACCTGCCCCACTTGTCTTTCATTTTCAAAGAAGACCAATGACATCATGGGGTGGTGTTGACTTGTGCCTGAATTTGAGCTACTGAAATTCTGTTTTGTGCATAGAGGACAGCTTTCAGGCAATACTAAAATGGTAGGGTGATGCCTTGTGGCTCCTGAGTAAATTGGATTTAAGCGAGGTAATGTTGCTCCAAGTCTTCAGCCTCACTCTCTTCCAGAGTCGTCAGAGCCCAGCAGCAAGATGGTAGTCAAGATAACTGTCAGTGTCTCAGGATGAAGTGGCATCTTCAATGTTTAACCAAGGTCTAAGCACTCCACAGCACCTGCTTCAGCAACCCTTGTGGCCATTGGAACAAATTCTTCCCATCTGCCCATTCTGCTAAGGGAAGTCTTCACATGCTGGGGTATACTCTCCCCAACTTGTGGAAGGGTTTGGGCCCCCTTGTTTACCTTCAACTTGGTTTAACCTGTCTGCCAAGATAGTTTACCTGGGTGTGATTGTTAGCATGCTACAGCTTCTTAGAGTCACAGGTGAGAATTGGTGAAAGAGTTGGACACCAAAGGTGGATGAGCAGCTCTGAAAAGGGTTTGGCAGCCCTCATACCAGAGGAACTAGTCCTCCTGGACACCTCATACACCCCAGTTTCTGCATGTGAGCTGGTCTTACATATGAAAGGGGGAATGGCTAATGAAGGTCTAGACTTAGGAGCGTGATTCCTGTGATGGGGGTGGTTCTGTCTGGTGCCAATCCTTCTAGATTGGAAGGAACCTCCTTCCAATCCTCTGGAACCTCTGGAACCTCTGGAACCTCCTTCTAGAATTAATTCTTGCCCTTGATCCAGAGCAGGTATTTTGTGATGTTTTTCTATCCAATTACTCAGATGTGTCCTAAAATAAATTCCAAGCTCTGAATAATTGAAAGAGCATAATTTTAGATTCAGAGGAAATGGTTTCAAATTCTGGTTCTGCCACTTAATACCCACCTGACTTTGGGCAAGTCCTTCTCTCTGGCCT